TATATATATGTCAATATATATATATATATATATATATATATATATATATAGATGTATACAGCATAAATACAGAACTACTTAGCAATTTCCACAAATAGGTATGAAGCAAATCTTTGAACTCTCTCAGTCTCGTTTTTAAGCAAAATAATTGGTAATTGACGAAAAAAATTCACGTAACTAATTTACATCATTTAAATATACCGTTTATAAATTTGAATATACTGTTGGCGCTACCATGGAAATTTCCAAATATCCTACAAGACACAGAGCTTCATTTTCATCCTTCATCCAGCAGAGGACGCTGCATCTCATGCAATCACAACCAGTTTAAATGATTCCCAGATTATCTTTAATGCAGAATTGATTAACTTCAAGTAAACACTGTAACTATTGTCTCACCGTCAAGTACCTTGAAGTACACTAGCCTGTGCTTCAGAGAGATTTGACCGTATTTAGAGCACATTGATTTCTAAACAGTCCCCTCATTTGTCTCTGTTGCTTTACGAGTGCATTAGCCCAGAGCATGAAATAAACTCTAATCACTCTCACTGCTTTTTCTAGAGGAGAGTTTGAACTAGAGTACATCATTGATCCCCATTCTTTGTACAGATGATAATAATAGCTTCTTTATGCATTGGCGTGGTCTGTGTTTACACTACATCCTATTTAGCCCACATTAACATCAATGTGCATGCTTTTAGACTGTCTGTGTGAGGTTTTCAACTGTTGTCTAATATATATATGTATGTATACATGTAATTTAAATTTTTATTTAACACATTATATTTAGGCTATAAGTGGTACAAACAATGCATTGGATTGTTTTAAAGTTATTTTTTATTTTATTTATTTTGCATCAGTACAATGTGTCATATAAATTAAATATTTGGAATTAAATATAATTCAACTGTACTTAATTTTACTTTTATTTTATTACAGAACTTTATTGCATGGACAGTATATAAACTGCTTAATAGTAGTACAAAATATAAGTCTTGCAATGTAGCGTCCATATAAAGTAAAAAAAAAAAGGTTTATGGGTTGCGGGAAGGTCTTTGTAGTGTTTTGCTTTTCTGCAGGTCCAGCCCATATTTGCTGACGTCACTTGCGGAGGGACCACATGAGCCTCGCAGCGCCGCCGCAGCTGCACAGACGCGACGCGACGCGACTCATCTTCAGACCTGCACGCACAGGTAAGCGCGAGCTCATCACATGACACAAGACAGGAGAAACTTTAAAACGGTTTTATATGGATTTCAGTTAAATACTTTTTAGTTTGTGGGAAACCGGGGCAAGTTGTCACTACAGCACTTGCTGTTTATTGACACCGATTTGAGAAGAATACGTGTGTTTAAAATGTGAAACACTATCTTAAGTAAAAATAAGCAATTTTCTAAAATACAATGTTAAATAAGCAATTTTTTTAAATGTAAAGAGTAAGACAATTTTGAAAAATAATTAAAAAAATAAAAATAAAAATATACCATTGTTTTGTTCAAAAGAACAGATAAAACTATGATGACATTGTTATTTAGTTATTATTAGTTTTTTGAAACCACACTGCTATTCACTGATGAAATTAATGAATGCATGCAGTTTTTATTTAATGTATTTTTTGTAAAAAATGTTAGATTTGAAAAACAAACTTTAGCAAAATTCGTCTTTGTGTTGACACGGCATGCCTACAAGTTGCCTAATAATATCCATAACAAATGGAGTAAATGTTGAGTGTGAAATGGTGAGAATAAACTGAAATCAACAGTGATCAACGATTAGCATTTGGTAGTGTTCTTCAGGAGCTGTAATGTCTCATGATGTCTGGGAGGGCCCCATATAGATGGGGGGATGTCATATGTTATTCAGGCTGGGGTCGATGTCTGTCTTCACCCGTCTGGATGAGCAAATTAGACAGGCAGCAGATGAGAAAAATGATTTAAACCACTAAATTACCATGTTTAAAAAAGTGCATATATTAGTGATACATTAGTGATATGAAGTGAGATGTTTTGCAGAATCTTTTCTGTACAGTGCTTAGTTTCTTACAATTTTTTTTCTTCCCCAAAAGTCAAAAATATTATTCAATAAGACATTATTCGGGACATTATATTTACAAATTGGTATAAACCATAAATTCAATATTCTTTCTTTTATTTATTTAGGTTTTTTTTTTTTTACTTTACTTTTTAAAAATACCAATCTTATTTTATCTTTGGATAAACAGTTTCTAGCTTCTTTGCAATGTCTGTTTGGCTATTTAAAATGTGCCAGTTTAGTGTATACTTTTGAATGAAATTGCATGCATATATCTTGGTGGTCACTGACTCATTCACATACAAGCACAGCAAGCAGATGCTCAGATGCGCAGACACTGTTTCATTATTTATTTTTAGCGTGCAGAACATTGATTGGTCCTTGTGAAGATCTGCTCACTGTTCCAGGAACTAGCACCTTTTGGGGCTTTAGTTATTGCTTTAGCAGTGTTTCAAAAAGTCAAGCATTACTCTTGCTCTTATTTAGAGATTTGAACAAACTCCAAATCCAAACTTCAGTGTTTAACCCGTCCTACAGTGCTTGTGCTCCAGACATGAATGATACCTAACATCTTTTCTATGCAATTTGAGTTCCAGGTTTGAAAGTGTTGTCAGCAGGTATCAGACGACTGAATTAATTACTCGTCTGGTGTAATTGCATTGATTCAGTGCAGACAGATCGAGATTAAATTAGATTAGTGTGAAGTCGCATACAGCCAGACAGTTTCTGTGTTCATGTGCATGATATTTTTATTCAGAAATGTCTCACACACACACTGTAATCGTGACTTAAATGTGGTTAATGCAGTTAAATCTCTTTGTAATGCTAATGAATCAGATCATCTATGACCAGCGGCCAGAAGAAACACAACACAAAGCAGCAATCTGTTTTCCTTGTGTCTCCCGCTGGAGTCACTGGATCTATAACGCATGTTGTTGGAGAAAACTGTAAACCAGAGAGACACTTAATCCGACAGCTATTATGAACACACACACACAAACACACACACACATACACACGCAGACATCATGTATTGTTCTGGCTTTGGTCTCAGCTGTTCTCACTCAAGCCTAAAGCTACTTACTGCCGCCACTCAGCGTGCCTCTGAATGCTCTATTGTGTGTGTATGCATAGAT